GATTAGTCTACTAATCAATTAAATTGACTAATTAATTAGATATAATTGTGTAGCTACTAATTACAAGATCGAAGTATAATACCATATAAAAACAACTAATCGATTAGTTAACTAATCGATTAACTAACCAATTGATTAATCAATTAATCGATTAATTGTTGACAATCGATTAGTTGTCTAATAAAATTATCAATTGATGAATCGATTAATTGATCAACTAATCGATTAATCGATTTTTGATTTGGAACACTAGATGCACTCTATAAGATTCAGTGTAATGTGAAATTAAAACAAACTAACAATATATTAATTTAGAGTAAGGGTTAGCACTAATGTAGAGTTAGATTAGATTGTAGATAAATATTAGTTATATTCAAAATTTTGCAAAGAATTTTTTTTGTTAGAACGCAAAAGGTGGTTTCATAAGCAAAATTATAAGTTACAAATAATTTTTTCAAAATATCACAATTTGTTTTGATTTCATATTACATCTGATTTTATGATCTAATTAGTCAATCATATGTACTAAATTATATAACCTCTTGTCAAATCAAGTCAAATATTTGTCAATTTGAATTTGATTTGATTTGAAATTTTTGTATTTGAATTTGATTTGATATTAAATATTTGATCAAATCAAATTAAATTATAAAACTATAGTGAGAACCATCTGTTGATAACTAGGGCTTACATCCTTAGAAAATTATGAATCTCAAGAGAAGAAAAATATTTACTTAGATGGGTCACTCCTAAACAAAGCTTTAGCATAAAATCATAATTTATTATATTTTACTATAATAATAAAATAAGTCAAAAGAATCTTTATTTGTACAGTGAAAAGCAATTGATAGTATAGATAGAGTAGGTTTAACCAACTAAAATCTTACTGTAAATTGTTACAAATTTAAAAAATAAAGGCAAAATCACTGAAGTAAAAAAAAAATAAAAAAAATTAAATTGATTTAAACAGCCAATCATATGAAGGCCTTTCTATGAGGTTGTTTTTTATGACGATGACATTACGGAAGCAATATGAAGTACGAAATTTTTTTTAAAAAATAAAAATACCTTAAACAAATTAGAACTACCTGATATCGGTATACTAGGTGCTATCATATAAACTAAGCTGCTACGTACGTACGTACGTACGTACATCAAATAGGGTTTCTATTATGAGCAATAAGAATTAATTTTGTTCCCGACCGCCTCAAATCTTTAAGCAAAATATCGCAAAAACTATATGGTGCCAAGAATGATATTTGTAGAAAGCTTTCGAATATGCAGTGTTACACCTGAAAACCACCTCTTATAAGTTCGGTATAACTAATTTACTTTAGCGACGGATATGTTAGACGGTTGATAACAAATACCGTGTTTATGCTTAAGTAAAGTATAAGGTTTATTGCAGTTACGCTTTAAGAGGATTATGTGATTTGCAGTTATGTAAGAGGTAAACGGCTAAATATGTATGAAGATATAAGTAGTCGTGTAAACAAGTTTATGATTTATTTAATAAAGTACTCAAGTCGTTCGTGTATGAAGACACGATTACTATTTATTTATGCGAACTAACTGTCGATTCCCAGAGAGAAATCGGGGGTGTTTAATGACTAAGATTATTATATCTGTTAGCGATACTATATCTATTCTATATATCTAATAATTATATGCGATCTAATATAACCAGTATGTATAATAAAGATAATATAATAGAACAATATACGATATCTACGAGATGTTTACCCCTTTGTGTGACATTACTGTCATGATCCTTGGATAAATTTCAGGTCTAATGCTAATAGCAGTTTTGGTCTGATACCCTTATGATTCTGCCGGAAAGGTGCATATGTTCACAAAAATGCAGGCAAGTTTGCTTGTAAGACAGTGTAAGGGATAGATTTCCAAAATAAAAACAAAACCATCCGACTAATGAGAACCAGTTTCTTAAATTTTGATAATTTGTCACATATGTACATGAGTGCATATACGGTAATACGTAGTACTGTCACATGATCTGCGTCATTTGTAATTCAGACTAAAATGAAAAGCAGTGAATGATTCTATATTAGGGGAGTGCCGTTTATTACGTAATTTTTTAGGGGAGGGGGGAGGGTCAGCAATTTATCACGTCTATCTATTGAATATAAACCTTATGATTGGTTATTGAATTTATCACCTAGGGGGGAGGGGGTGTGGCCTTCTAATAAAAAGAAATTACGTAATAAACGGCACACCCATTAGGGTCCGATGTTGCATAACGTCCCCAGAATAAATCCAAGTCACGAGTATTGGTAATATCAGTATACTGTATAAATTGAGTCCACGTTTTAGTTTAGCAAAGTTCCTTTGGCTGCTCAATTAAGTAATTACAGAATCTACAAATTTTTTTCTGATGAGACAAATAATATGATAGAGTCTTGTGTATCAGTTTAAAAAAAAAAAAAGAGTACATACTTTTTTAAGTTAGGCGGAGATATAAAAAGACAAAAAAAATTCCGAAACAAGTTTTTACACAAGGGTATTTATTCTTATCTTTATTTTTATTTTTTCCTGAAAAAACGTCAAAAGATGTTTGATTGAACTCAAAATCTAAGCTTAACATTATTTTATTTAACATTTTAGAATACTTTATTATAATTCTTATGTACTTATTAAATAGAAAGCCGATACAACTAGTGTGTTCGACTAGGAATTTTAACAAAGGTATGCGTAAGCATTTCGAAAGTTATCTTGATTTCTTTTTTTATAAAGATTCATATCTCTCTATTTGACACTTTAGTTTCTAGAATGTTCAAATAGATTATTGATTTTTAAATATCTATTACGTAATTAGAATCTTTTAGAGAATAAAGTAGAAAAAAAATTATAATTCTTTTTATTTCACATGGCTCCTCGTTTGTATACGGATTGTCTTGTCAAAATATTTTCGTTTCTTAGAGATGATCATACATCATTGCATTCTTGTGCGCTGGTAAATCACTTATGGTGTCAAAACGCAATCCCATTTCTGTGGGAAGATCCCTTGGATAGCAAAAAATTGGATGGAAGAAATGAGAAGCAAAAAAGATATGCTCTTATCAATACGTATATTACAGGTCTTCCGCAAGTTTCGCATAAAGTACTCAAAGGCGAGAAGATCATGTTACCACCAGTCACGAAATCTCCGACATTCGAATATGCTTCATATTTACGTAAATTGGATTTAAAATTCTTTTTCGTCGCCTTACAATCATGGACTGTGTGTTACGATAAGCAGACTAAAATTACTTTCACGGGAGGCCAGATAGTGCTAATTATTCAAGAATTATTACGAAATCTATTTATTTTATCCCCACGTATTTTAGTTCTTAGAGTAAATGTTGATAAAATAGGTGCCATTATTGTAGATATCCTCCAAAATGTCCCTGAAGCAAGAAATTGTTTAACAAGCTTAAAAGAATTTACGTATTTTGCGGAACATCCTACCATGGAAATCCTTTTTTCTCAAATTGCCCAGCTTACTGGCAATATCGAACGTTTTAACCTTTCAATTTATGGTCATACTGAACAACTGATAAATATGATAAAAGTTCAGAGACTTTTTAAAGAACTCATCATTAACAATAGAACAAATTCACCGTTAGGTTTCAAGTTTTGGGTTGACACTGACGCAGGTTCTATAATCTCTAAGAAAGCATCAACTGTTACTTACTTGGAAATTGAGAATATATTTTTCCCATTTCAAGCACTTTCGCACTTTACTAATTTAGTGGAATTAAATATGTTTCATTGTGGATCTTATAGCTTGCATGATTGGACACCTTTATATGATGTACATTTGAAAAAGCTCGAGAAGATTTCATACAAGAATCGACATTCTCTTTATCTGGAATCTTTCGGCAAGTTTTTGGGTAATGCTGCCATAAACCTAAGTTCTATTACAATTCGTTGTTGTACAATTTGTGATCCAGAACAATCACATTTACTCTTTACGTCAATTGCGGCTAATTGCCCAAATCTTATACATTATGATGGACCAATTGGATCTGATAATGCTTCTGAATTTGGGCAAATGCTTTATGCGTGTTCCCATATTGAAACATTATGTCTTCATCCATCAAATAAGTGTTGTAGAGTTGCGGAAAATCGAACAGATTTTAATCCACTTCTTAGAAAAATTACGATTAAACAACCGTGGAATATAAGAAAATTAACCATCATTCACGGATGGAAATTTACAACTGATGTGTTTGAAAGCTTTTTACAAAGCAGACAAAGAATTTCAAAAAAGATTACATTTTATTGGAATGAATGTGAGATTGTTGGTAGTTTTGATAAGGTTTGTGAAAAATACCAGAAGGCTGGAATTTTAGATAAGTACCAAAAACTTTTAAAATATGATTAACATTTTCTTTGCAACGTGATGATTTTAAAATTTTTTCTTTGCAGATTAGTTTTTTTTATTATTATTATTTATTTATTATATTTATCTTGACATCTCTTGACATACATTTGAAAGGGATATATATTCTAAAATAGTTGTAAAATTTCATAAATTATTATTTTGTATTTACTGATTTTGGGAAATAAATATTTATTTTATATTATCGCGATACAATAATTTGTATAACAAGCAAGGTAGTCTTTGGTAAACTTGCAACAAAAAAAATATCATTTAATGATATTCACATGGGCACGAACAATGTTATACTGTACATTTTCATTGTCCATGGCCTACTTGGGCTTGTCTATGTTCACGAATGTTTATACATATTGTTTAGTATGTTTAGTATATTTTAAAAGATTTTAAGAATATATATTATTAGGCCATGCAAACTTAATAAATCGGCTCTCATAACCCAACCGGGTCAAATATATTTACTATTCGAGTGAGATTTTCTAAAAACTTTTGTTTTTTATATATAAAATTTTTTGAAAATAAAATTAAAAGCCGGGTTTCCGGGTCACTTAAAAATTTTATGAGAACCGATTTATTAAGTTTGTATGGTCTAGATGTAAAATTTTTCCATACGTGTCCGTTAACCACTGGGCAATAATTTACAGGAGTTTGAAGAATTAAACAAAAATTTCAAATTTCGTGATATTCTGTTATTCTGTTCTGCAGATTATTTTTATTTATTGAAATATATTTAGTGGTTTAAATGAATTTTTAGAAAGTCACTTAATTTTACATACATCCTTTAGGACGATGGCAAAGAACTCACTGAATGCATGAAATTTGTTTTTTTAGAGCTAATAAATTTTATTTTGCTATTATTGCTTTAAAGACTAATGGCCCTGCTCTGGAAATTAACGAATTCTGTTTACCTAATTGTAGTGGAATATCGTGTTATTTATTTCTCTAGTTTTCGTCGTTTTTATTATTACTGTTTTATTATTATTATTATTATTATTATATTATCGTTATTATTTTTGTTTTGTTAAAAACATCCCGCAATTTGATTAGCTCATGACCTAGATAGAGGTCTAACTTTTCATATTTCGCATTTTATAGAAATTAGCTGGTTTTGAGAATACAAAATTGCTGAGAAAATAAATGTAAAATAAACTTTTTTTGTTTTTTTTTTGCAAATCAATGTTGTACAGCATGCATACAAATTCTTATGGCTGTCTTTTGTTAATTACTTCCATACAGAAAGTAACTACTAGAGATGTACCTCGCGCGAAGCAATAAAACTATCGAACCCGCGATCTCGCGAGATGACACCATACCTCGCGCGAGATAAACTATTCGATTAAGAAATTTTTAATGAAATTTTTGGCATATATTCTAAAATGAATTTTTATCACATGAGACTCGCAATCTCGCGCGACAAAGTCGCGCGTGCGATATATGAAATGTATGCTAGTTTATCTTACGAGAGGTACATCTCTAGTAACTACCTAGTGACCATATCATATAATTATTAATATATATATACTATTAATTTAATAATAACTATATAGTCATTATATAATTACTATATAGTTACTATGTGGTTACTATATATGCAGTTATTTAACTTGTTATCGCTGTTTCAAATTAGGTGAATTTTATTATAAATATGCAGAATTCATGAAATTCACAAAATTCTTTCTAACCAATTTTGTTAATTTGATTCTAAAAATGTTTAGAGTTCAAAAGTGACTTACACAAATTGGATTATCATGGTCAGGCTTTATTATTTATTGATATTAAATTTTCATCAAAATATTGTTAAATTTTATGGATTTAGTCAAGGTACGTACGTACCATTATAACCCTTCCAATTTATAATTATTTATAAAATAAAAACAAATTTGTACTATTTGTATTATTAGATAGTTTAGATCATGGACCAAGAAAAAACTTTATGATTCTTCAATGGGCAAGTCACGGGGACCTTCGATGGTATTTAAGGAAAAAAGTTCTTAATTAGGTCCAGCGTTGTAAAATGGCAGAAGAAATTGCAAGGGGGCTTCAACACAGTGGAGTTATTGCATACGTTGATCCAGCATATTTAAAAGACCCGAATAGATCTCGTGATTTTGCTTCAGATATTTATAGCGACGGTGTTTTATTATGAGAAATTTCTAGCCAAAAGGTTCCGTTCGATGGTTGGCGCGATTATGAAATACTTTTACGTGTTATTTATGGTGGTCGAATGGGTCCTGTTGAACAAACACCTCAAGATTATCAATCTCTTTACCAAGATGCATGTAATGGTGATCCTTTAAAACGACCACAAACTTAAGATGATCTTGGATAGACTCAAAAATGTTGAATTTATAATGAATGATTTTAACATTATTTAATATAAACATCTCCAGGCGACGATGATGATAAAATGAATTTCTTATTTTAATACTAACACCCTTCGAACGAAAATAATACGTATAACTATTAGAATAATATCATTTAGTGTTCAATTAAAAATTAATCTACTAAATCAATTTTAAATTAATATATATATATATAATACATAATTTTTATTCATTAAAAAAAAAATTACAAAAGATATAAATAAAAAAAAAGTTGCTAAAACTTATGACAAACTCAAGCATAAGTGCAATTTATCACCTGATATGAATTTTTTTTTAAACAGGCGGGAGAAGATTCCTAACATTTAAGTATTATCACACTTTTATGCGGTTATGCAGAAATATTGCACCGCTTCATTATTTATCTTTTTTTTTCGATCATTATAGTAATTTGAATTTTT